ATGTCATTATTCTTTTTTATATATATATATATATTTTTATTTTATTATACAGGATATATAGCGCCAACAGTTTGCGCAGCGCATTACAATATAAGGAAGCCATTATAATTACAATACAATTCAAGCTGTGTGGGGGCTGTGTGGGGATGAATTATTTGAGAATGTGATAGTTCAGTGGTCAGGTTGAGGTGGGATAGGCTTCCCTGAAGAGATGAGTCTTAAGGGATCGCCTAAAGGCAGTCAGAGTGGCAGATAGATGGACAGGTTGGGGTAGAGAGTGCCATAGGATGGGATAGGCTCTAGTGAAGTCCTGGAGGCAAGCATGGGAGGAGTTTACGAGGGAGCTGGAAAGCAGAAGGTCATTTGAAGAGCTGAGGGGACAGTTATGGTGATACTTTGAGACCAGGTTTGAGATATAGCCGGGGGCGGAGTTGTGGATGGCTTTGAAAGTGATTGTTAATATTTTGAATTTTATCCTTTGGGCTATTGGAAGCCAGTGCAGGGATTGGCAGAGGGGGGTTGCAGACACTGAGCGGTTGGTTAGGTGGATGAGTCGAGCAGCTGCATTCATGATAGACTGAAGGGGGGATAGCCTGTGTAGAGGTAAGTCAATGAGGAGGGAGTTTCATTAGTGAGGAAGGGGCGTATTTTGGAGATTTTACGAAGGTGAAGGCGGCAGGATTTGGATAGTGATTGGATGAGGGGAAGAAAGGTGAGGTCCGAGTCAAGGATGACACCCAGGACCTTGGCATGAGGGGAGGGCTGAATAGTTGTGTGCGGCGGCTGTGGCGGTCTCAGTATACCGCAAGCTGTAGCTCACGATATACTGAGCTTAGGGTGACGGGAGGAGGCTAGTTTGTGTACTCCCGTTACCCGAAGGACAACTATGGAAAAGCCCTGACACAGCCCAAACGCTGTTCCACCCCTTAAGGCCTTACTTAGCCTTAATCTGGCTCTGGGAAAAATAAGACTGTTGCTCTCATGGATCACTAGACCAGCAAGCCTGTTTGGAATGCTGAAGCTGAAAACAGCATATAGCCAAGGGCAGGCCCAGCCTCCCTACACTATAGAAGCAAAATACCAACTTGTTAGAACTTAATTTTTTCATGTTAGGTAGGGTGAAGTTTAAAGAACTCTGGGGCAGAAGAAAATTGGGGCTACCTCCTGCACTGCAAAGGTTAGGTGCTGGTTTTCGTCTAGGGTCTACTGTACAATAACAGACATATACTCATCCGAACCTTAGTCCCACCTGGCTGCTGGACTTCTCCCTGCAGCCTCTATCCCTCTTCACTCCAGCGGCCTAAGAACCTGCGAGTCATCACATTCAATACAATGTATTAGACGCGAGTACGCCGAGGGGCATTCCAATGCCGCGGGGCGAGAGAGAGGCTGCAGGGATTGGTCTAGCAGCCATACAGGAACTAGGTTTGGGTGAGTATATCGGCTTTACAACAGAAGCGATTCTGGCGACTTACCTGTCGCCAGATCATATACATACATACACACATACACACATATATACACACACACACACACACAAAGAAGTACCTGGACTCTGAACTTTTAAAGTGAAGCTGAAGTTTTGTTGAGAACTATATACAGTATGTTACAAGAATTTCAGCAAACTTTATTGAGGGTCCTTACTTGTTCTTAGTTCTGTACATATTATGATAGGGTTTGCCAGTGCACTTGCTAAATAAGACATGACATGATCAGTCACAGTGCTGTACTAAGACACATTCCACTACCCAGCATAACTTGAGATGCACAGCAGCATAAAGTTTGGGAAGCCGATAGTTTCCCCTCAAGTTCAGATTTCTGGAAAATGTAGTGAGCCAGTTACACTATATGACCAAAGGCATAGGGACGTCATCGCTTTTATATGAACTTGTAGGACATCCTATTCCAAAACTACCTCCACCCCGTGGAGTGATAGCCAGAAATGTAGAGGCTGTTAACCACTGGATTTTGGCAAGTGTCTGTGAAATGTTTTGCAGATTTAGAGAAAGGAATAAAAGGTCAGGTACTGACACTAAATAAGAAGACCTGGTTCACAATCAGCGTTCAAGTTCATCTCAAAGGTGTTCAATAAAAATGGGTTCAGGGTCCTTCGCTGGTCACTAAAGTTTCTCCACACCAACCTCAACCCTTGTTTTTTGAAAGTGGCTCCATGTACAGGGGCACAGTCATCCTGGAACAAACAAAAAGTCTTCCCCATACTTCTGCCACAAGATTGAAGTGCACATCTTTGTATGCTGTGGCATAAACTGTTCCCTTCAGTAGAAACACTTTAACCTAAAAATCTGGAGGGGCGCTCACAACTTTTTGCCCATAAAAAGGTAGCTGTGATAGTGGGGTTTTCAGAAACCTTTGCCTATATAATGTACATGAGCAGGGAGATGAGAATTTTGTGAGGTCCTGCCCTTGGAGTACTACTGCCATGTTTTGAAGTGTAGATTTGAATTTTTTGATAGTTATAAAATAAATCCTAACTAACCATCAACATGCCCACTTAGGAAACAAAGAAAACGCAAGTGTGAATTGTAGGTCAAAGGGACAAACTACTATTCTGTACTATACACTGAATGTCTTCCAGGCCTGAAAACAGCATGCAGGTGATGTCTTCAAATGCTTTCCAGCAGAGGAGACAAGGTGCAGGGGTATGAGTGCACTGAATAGTCCACAGTCTACTGCACATTACAGGAGACAATGGGATATAGTTGGTGCCTATATAGTACTGCAGACTATGTACAATACTGTATGGCATATGATGGCCAGCAAAGAAGACGTTGATGGTTCTATAGATAGATGGTATCTCACTGCCCTCCTATTTTCTCCAACATGCCTAAGCAACTTATGTAATTTTAAGTTGGGTCGTGTAACTCAGCAGGCAGATTGCAACATTTTAAACCTGCATGTGTTTTCTCCATTATTTTTTATTACCTTTTTAATGAAAATGTAATTTTCATTTAAGAATGAACTTCGGCAGTGTAAGGTCCTGCGAGTCATCACGTCCAATACACTGTATTAGACGTGAGGACACCAAGGGACATTCCATCACTGGAACTTTTTCCCTAGACAAAAACAAGCACTTAACTCAAGAATATCTCTGCCCGTAGCTCTTCCTTACCCTTACCCGCTGCCACTGGAAGCGATTCTGGTGATCAGCTGCCCCGCTATGTGATAGCAATTAAGTAAAATAAATAACATTTAATGAAATGTAAATTATTATTTTTTTACATTTTTAAAGTCCCCCACCCCTGCGAGTGCACGCATATTAATGTAAACATGCATCGGGTACGCCTACATATGAAAATGACGGTCGCACTACAAATGTTAGGTATGACCAGAATGAAAGCAATAACTCTAATGCCAATATTCATGGATATCTCTAAACAGGTCGCCTGCAAGGGATTTTAACCACTTGCTGCCCGGAGCAATTTCTTACATTTGCACACACATGATAAAATCTGAATTTTTGGTTAGAAAACAGCTTCAGACCCATGAAAAAAAAATATATTTTCTGAAAGCAGAGGCCCTGTTGAATAAAAAGATGCTGGTTGAAATTTTTGATGTCGCATGTATTTGCGCAATGTTTATCAATTTTTTTGTTTTTTAGTGCACAGAAACAGAATATAATACCCAATTTTTTGGTAACATATAAAAGATGGGGTCATGGCGGGTAAATAGATAGCAAATATGTCAACTCTTAACATTGTGTGCGTCCGTAAAAAAAACAGTGTTAACTGTAGGCACACTGACGCGTGTTTTGCGTGTGTATGTGTGTGCACGTGGGGCGCGGAAGACTTTCATTTTTTTTTTGATCTGTTACTTTGATTTTTACCATTTTTTTTTTACATTCAACTTTATTGCCATCATATAGGGGGCTAACGACCCCCCTATGTAATAGCAAATATAATGTGACAGGTCCTCTTTATGGAGACATCAGAGGTCTTTCAGACCCTTAATGTCACCTAGGGACCCCAAAGAAGCTGATGAAGCAGAGATCTGCTTCACCGGCTTTTTCTTCTGGCTCTAGGAGCCAGAGAATGTGTACAGGGACACTGGAAGTGATGTAATGCACATCACTTCCAGGTCGAGTGATCGGAGGACAGTTCAGCGGCTGGAAGCCTGCTGATCTCCCTCTGATGCATCAGGGGAGCGCGTGAAGCCGACAGCAGCACCGGCGGGGAGGATAGACACAGTGTCGCACCGTACAAGCAGCAGTGTTCTTGGTATAACCACTTCCAGCGGATGAC